TGAAAAACATTGAGCCAAAAATCTAGCACTCGGACTACATTCTGTCATATTTTTCCACCTTGATGAAGATGACTACTGTTTTTAACATGTGTTCTCCTTTACCAGATTATATTGTACCTAGAATAAAAAGGCAAAAAACAAACAAATTGAAAGAAAGTTTTCCCTTCTGCTGCCTTTTTTCTGTGATAATATTTCAGCTGCCGAACTTTGTTTACCATCTATTCTAAAAATACAAATATGAAACCCATCACCGAAATGCACACCACCTCTGTATATTAGCAAAGACAGGTGTAGAAATTAATGTGATCTCCTTTACATTTCTACAGTAAATCCATCTATAGCAGGCTAATAAGAATAGTTATTTTGTATTAGACTACTTCCACAGATCATAAACGTAAGCTTTTATTATAACGTATCATTATAAAAAGAAGTGCAAAACATATATAAGGAGTTGAATTAAAATGGTGATCTCCTTTACCCATTCTGTGAACTCCTTTACATGCATCTCACCATGTCCACAATTATCTGTTTTTATAAACAGACCCCTAATTATAGCTCACAGATTTAGCTTTGTAGTTTATCAGTCATTTAAACCTAAAACTACCACCACATTTGAATGTTAGTTATACAGTTAAAGAGATATACACCTGTTATATAATCCCATTTTCAAGGACTTTTCTTGCAAGAAAATGAGTTGATTTCAAATCCACCCAACCCTAATCATCTGCACCTGGTGGAAAATAATTATGACGGGAAAAGCATTATGCACTCTATATATTTCCATCTGAAGCAAAACTGAAGTAAAGAAAAACACATAATGGGGTTCACGCAATTTCACGTTTTGTGATTTTTATTGAAGAATGCAATTTATTTTTACCTTTTCAGTTATTGATAACAACAAATGTCTTGGCTGTTCTGTATGGCAATATAACAAAATGACATAATTTGAGTATATATGCGTAAAGGAGATCACGTGCTTAAAAAAACTAATTCTTTTAATACCCTGTGTTTGGAATATGATCAAATCAAGTTATATACTTCTCGGATTGATCTTTAATCTTTTTGTTTACTCAAAAATTTGTAATTATTGTCTTGAAAATAAACAACCGTAAAGGAGAACACGTGATTACGGCGTCATGTTCTTTTGGATATTTTTATATGTGAAAAAGTAATGGAACAATCAGCTAATAACAAATTTTCAAAACATAAATGTTTACTAATTACTCACAATAAAGGCTTGAGTCATACTTACCATTTTTGTGTTTGTGTTATTGCTTTGAAATTAAATTTTTCTTCCGGCGACATGCTACTTTTAACACTCCACCATTGTTTATTTCCTTGGTTTGATAGATAAACATAATAACTCAACATATTATATATGTTTGGAAAGCTCTGTCCATCGTGTATCATGTAAAAATTATTATATGTTTGAGTAAGGTACGCACTCAGAGAAATTTGCCCCAGAACGCTGGCGACATCAAATTGGACACTTAAGAAAAAATGTTCACAAGTGACCTAAAAGAAACAAAATACATACCTATGTAAAGTCTGTAGCTAACCGTTATCTTTAGAGAGAAATAAGTAAGTGTCCTCAATCCCCAAGTTGCCATTTTTACATATTCAATAAATAATATAAACACAGTGATAGATATAAATAGAACCAAACTCCACAGTATGTTTATTTTATTATTGAAAGTGGTGAAATATGCAGAAAGTATAGATAGTTTTGTCGTGATTTGTCAAATACAACGAACCAAAAAAGTTTAGTTTTTTGTTACCAGCCAGCCATTAAAAAAATAATCATATATTTCTGAAATGAAACAATTTTAATGCAAAAGGTAATTGTAATGTTAAAGATTTAGATTTATAAAAATTATCCCTATTGACATTTTTTTCTGAGTTTTAACAAATTGAACATTTGATACAAATTTGATTCTAAAGTCATGAGATTATATCAGCACATCTTCATTGATCTTTTGTGCGTGTGTGTGTGTATTTTAAGAAGACAGCCTGGTAATTAGTTGAATCAACAAACAGCAATTATATATCTGACTCGTTGTCCAATTTTATTTAGACGAATCATTGAACAGACAGAGAGAAAGAGAAATGGTTCACATATCCGAAATCTGATTATGGAGCTTTTAGATTGCTTCATAACTTAGTATACGGTAACCTAAAATTCCACATAGCATTGGTCGCCGATGGCTTAGCGGTCAGATACCTGCAGTTGGCAGAGCATAAATAACCCACTTTGCAACAACAACAACAACAACTACCAAAAAAAAAAAAAAACATACAGTGTTAATATAACGGCTTTCAGTTCGTCTATGAATTCTCTGTACACATGATTTCTAAGTTTCAACAACACAACCATGATACATAAGGTGTGAGATTTTTAACACCATTAGGAGTGACTTGAAAACATTACCCGAAACATATATGGTGTGTTTGTGTATTAATTTTGCGAGATGTTTCATATAGCAATACTTTGATAGTTTTAATTCCATGGTTTGTTTATTTTAGAACAAAAAAAACACAATGGATTATCTGCGCTCTGTCCACCGCGAGAAATCAAACCCGAATTTTATCATCGTAAGTCCGTAAACTTACCGATAACCCCACAGGGTGACACTTCCATGATATTGCGTAAATTTTGCAAAACTTAAATATGATTAATAAACTTTCTCTTTCGAATACTGATTTAAATGGCCAGGTAGTTAGGGCGCTCGTCTCGCAATTTGTGGGTCGCAAGATCGAAACCCTTTCCCAAACATGTTCGTCTTTTCAGCCTTGGAGGCGTTATAATGTTAAAACCAATCCCGCTCTTCGTTAGCAAAATAGCCCAAGAGTTGTCGGTGGATAGTGTTGACTAGCTGCATTCCATCTAGTCTATAATTTCAAAATTAGGGATGACTAGCGCAGACATCCCTCGAGTAACTTTGCACGAAGTTAAAAAAAAAATCAAACAATGATTTAATTCAGTTACAAACTTTCAGCTTTCGGTAGTTATATTTAATAATACGCTCTTTTAAGAGTTACACGATGAGATATCATATGCCCACTTTTTTACCTAAATAGTAAACTTTCGGTCCCACAAGAGTAGATTTTTATAATTTTATTTTAATCGAAACAGAGTACTTCGAATACCCAGAAAACAGAGATAGTGACTAATATATCAAACATTAATAATAGAGGGCGCTATGATTAATAACCAAAAATACGAGTAATGTTTTTGTGTATATTTCAGAATCAGTTATATGCCACATAAAAAAATTATGAATAAATGGTGATTCTGAGATTTTAAAAAAAAATTTTCACTTCATTTCTGAGCAGAAAAAAATTAAAGCATTACTACAGTCGCAACTCCTCATAAAGCCTCAATAATGTGTGCATATAAGAACGATTATTTTTGTTTTTTCAGAACTTCATTAAATTATTGAAATAGTTAACACGTTTTCTTATTTTAAACTATCACTGGTGATATATTTTTTAGAATAAAAAATGTATATTTTGTGCAATTATTAAATACATAAGAAAATATACGTTGCTTATGTGTCCTTTCATTTTCGTCTAGCTCTCAAATATATTAATACCTACAAATCTCTCTCTATATATATTGCTAACATGATGCTCTACCATCTGTCAATAACACCTTATCTCAATGTGAAAATATTTGCCTCAGTATTAACATCACATACTTGACGTGGCGCATATGGCCTGACTGATAAAACTATTACAGAATTCAACGAATTCAGTATCTAAAAGACTGATAAATACAAACATTGTTTTGTCGGTTGTTAAGCGCAAAGTTACACAATCAACTGTCTGTGCTTTGCCCATCCCGAAATCTAATTCTTTAGCATTATAAATCCCTTAGACTTACCTCTGGGCCTCTGTGGGGCAAATACAATACCCAGACAGTAGTGGAAAATATATTGAGTGTGAATATATTTGAGTAAAAATGGAACAACAACAAACAAACAAAAACAGAGGGGAAAGAATAAAGTATGAAGTTCCTTGATTTCAAAATTGTAATTCATTTAACAGGCCCATTTTGATGTCAAGACTCCTAATTTTACATTATGGCCGCTTTGTTTATCAATGTATTCTTCTTTATCCATGCGGTTGTAAATCTCCAACCACGGAACTCAACTGGGTATTGTACGTGTTCTTTCATTCTCGTATAATCCTCAAAATTACACATAAATACATAGAAGTCTCTTGCACTTATAGTATTAGTAAAAATTTAGAATCTCTTCATTTTTGCTTATTTGAATAAAAACTTTTAGTTTCGTTTCCCTGTTACTATTAAACGTGCATTCAAAATTCTAAAACAAAGAAATAAAGTACTGAGGTTAATTTATAATATTTTCATGTTCTAACTAAATTACAGTAACTTTTATTCATATTCACGTGACATTATTAACATGGTAGAATAACGAACTAATATATATATATATATATATATATGTACTAAGCCTAAAGATCATAATTTAGTACAAAAGCAAATCGCACGCCATTTTCTACCGGGTTTAATCCCGCCATCTTGGATTTCTACATTTACAGAAAAATCAATAAATGAAAAAGTTACACAATACTTTCTTTATGCAGACGGCTTAGATTTTGCAAGTGAAACTGATTGTCGTATGTATATTAGAGAGCTGAATCGCATCTAAAAAAGTAGGTTCTATACATAATAAAGTACAAATCAAAGGCACGCGCCCTCTCAGTTCAAGCTAAGGTTAGCCTTACCACTGAAAGACAACTTCAACGTTCAACCAACATTCACGCCGTTAGCCATCATTCCTGGCTCGAATTAACTATAGGTTACGCCGCAGCAAGCTTCCTTGTGGTGGAGGGATCACGCGCCTGCGTGTGTGTGAGAGGTATTGGTGTGGCACAGCGACTGATATTCTCTAAGAATACTTTAATTTTGGTGCGCCGCGTACGGGACCCGATGACGGCGTGCTTACCGATGGTTAGGTGAACTTAATCACGGAAGTTTGAAATACTTACTAAACTACTCCACTTTTCAAATAATTTGATCATGGAGAAGTTACATAAGCAACCAGATGCTTACACAAGGGATTACGGTGCGTTCATGAACGAGCTAAGACAGTTCCATCAGAATCGAGGGTACGTTCATTAGTTCTCAATGTAATGTGTTATTCGCATTGTTTAATTAGGGGAAAAAAATGTATGTTTTTCACCAGATGCTGGTACTAATTTACTTTTGTTCATTTAGGTCCTATTTTAGGCACATGCCACGTATAAATGGCAAGGATGTGGATCTTTATTCATTGTATAATCAAGTGACTGCTCAAGGCGGATGGGAAAAGGTTAGTTTTTTTTTAAGGCATTAAAGTATTGATTTATGTAACTGTTTACCTAAACACAAAGACCTAGAACTATAAAGAGTTTTGAAACCAATTTAATTTTTAACTTTATATTCATGAATGAAAGAGTCTAGAGTGGCTTATGTATTTGTGTGTACGGCCGTGTCGTTTCATTCTCGGTCTCACTGAAATTGGAAAGATTGAGTCAAAGTGATGACTTCTCCGGTTTGGTCCAGCGGATACATCCTCCGTTCACCTGTGTCACCCAGGTAACGGCAGGACGCTAAACTTTCCTTCGTCCTGCGTCAGTGCTAGAGGAATGCTTGTTCTTGTCAATTATTTGCATGTTTTACAACTGTATTACGCGACTTGTTTGTTGTAGCCTTTACGTGCTTTCTATGGTGAACAAAGAAACACAAGCAACTAAGCCTAACATGGCTTTCATAACGAATATATTTACTTATCGGCGTTCAGTATATTTAACCAAGTTTTTAAAACTCACATTATCATTTATGTAAAATATGTTGGGTAAGAAGTAAATTTGACATATGCTAATATTAAAAACTTCAAAGTTTGTTCAAGTTAGTAAACAAAAAGCGTAGCATTACGAACTTAAGTGACTCATTTGATTTGGTATATTGTCACTTGTACATACATATATTAGCATTAATAATACTATTACTAGTGGCAGGCTGTAGCCAGAACTCTAAGGATACCGGTATAATACAGTATTCATGTGAACTGGTTTTAATGTATGGCCCTGTTGGCGTTAGAAACACATATACTATTATTTTAAACTTTTAATTTGAATTTTGTTTCCAATTTTGATAATGTTATTAATGAAATTAATTTTTTTTCAATAGATCTTACTTATAAGTCATTATTACAGAAAAGCAAAAACTATAATAGCATCTTTTGTCAAGTCAGTTGTAGCCTGACTGAAACGAGTAAATTATTGTTATTTTTCTTAGTATACAACTAAAATGTCAAAGCCATATGTCAGAATTTTATTATGGTAAGAAGTATGTATGACTCACATTCAAAGATTTTATGCATTTCGGTTAATGCTTCAAAATTTATATATCATGTTGAAACAAATTACCCAAGGGCACAGGAATTTGGGGTGCAAAAGCATCCTCTGGCTTGAAGTTGAAATAAAGAGGTGCTCAATTCACCTGTTAGTTTTATTACAATGTTTTAGCACAGTAATAACAACCAAGTACATAGCTTCCATCATATATTTGGTTTACAGTTTTGTTAATAACGTTTAGTACCACCATACAAAGTGTAATACACCACCGAAAGTACCATAGTATAGTGAAATGTTATAAAATCAGTCATAGTTGATTCACTTAAAAAAAGTACTGTTTTCAATATGTAGTACATTTCTTTAAATTTTAAAGATGAGAAGTAATGCAACATTCAAGTATATAAATTCATATTTTCCAGTAATTCTGGTAATGGAAGGTTCAGCATTTATCAGTATAAGTAATCTAGCTTACAATATATTTTTTCACCATATGCTAACATGTGCATGTGGGTCTATGCTTATTATCAATGTAACAAAATCTGCATATTACATTAGCATACAAAAATTGTTTTAAATTTAAAACCACTTTTTTTTTGCATAATTTCTTCAACAGTTAGTAATAAGTTTTTCAGGACGTTGAGTAGTAAAAGGAGTCATAGTGGACAAAATTACCTTTTGTAAGCTTTTGGTTCTGAACTATGATAAAATAAATTTTATTCTTACATGTATTCACAGTTGTTTCTAAATATTCATAAAATTCTTTTTGTTATAAGATTTTGATCAAAGAAGTGTCCACTGTAATTTTGTTTTATGTATATTTACATCACCTTTTATTAATCTAAGCCTAGTTTGTTTAAAATTTATAGATGGCTTGAATGGGTAAAAGAAAGAAACTTTATTACAAATGTACAACATTTAGATAAGCTTATGTCATCACCAGGCACAAGCTTGTTGAAGCATTGTACATTAGCAATAAAGTTTCTTTCACTACCCATCCAAGCTGTCTCCACATTTTATTTAAAAAAAGTGGGTTTCTCATTACCGAATCTAGTTTGTGTGTTGCATTTTTTCTCTATTTGAACTAACGTGTACAACACCCTTCCCCACTGAAGAAAGAAACCATGCATGAAAAGAGCCTGAAAATCTAAATTCAGTGTTATTTTTAATGCTGAGAATTACTGACTGTTCATTTTACCCATTCTATTTTAGGAATTCATCTTATTAATTGTTTAATGGTGTTAATTCTTTGGTAAAGTCTTTTCAGAATTGGAATTTTATAGAATAGTGCCATAGCCTTGATTCATACTCGTAAGAAAGTACAATGCATTAATTTGAAACAATTTTCTTTAGAAGTGAAGATACTATCATCAAATGTAAAAAGTTAAAACTAATAGCAATACAACATAGCTAATATTATTTTATTTGGTTATTACAAACATGTATAATAGTTATTTTGTGAGTTGTGTTCTCTAAGTCTGTTTATCTTTTGAGATTTGAAGTTACCAGAATTTGTAACCTCAAACTTCATGTGTGGATAATACATGTCTTTTTATAAATTAAAAATAAGTACTTCTGTCATTGCTCTAAAAACCACATCAGTTCTTCATTACCACCTCTTTATTACTTTAGAATTATCCTTGTGTGTCTTAGAATTTCATAGTACTTTAGTTACTGAAACTATCGGTGTTTCATTGCTTTAAAAACCACATATTATATGTAAGAAAATGTTAATGTTGCCTCACTTACTGAGTTTGAAAATTTGTATATTAATCATCCAATATTAACAGACGATTGTGCTGACTAGCTTTTACAAATTAATGGAACAGTTTAAATTTTGAAAAATGATCTAATCATTATAAAGATTTAATTTTAATGTTAGAAGTGTAAGGTGTAACATGATGCTATTATATACACATTTAAAAGAAGATTTGTAAGATGAAAATAATATTTAAACTGCAGATGAAGACAAGCATTTATGTATTTTAAACAGAACAGAAGATGAAATGTTCTAGAAATACTTGAGATTATAAGGAAATAGATTTTTATACTTTATGTAAGGCTAACCTCAGGTTCTGTATATAGTGTTGACTAGTAGTTTAGATAAGCTATTGTCAGTTGTGCTTATAATTTTGTTTTATTGAAAAAAAATTATTTACAGTATGTAAATGAAGGTTCTTATGCTTAAAGTCTAAGAAATCATATTCCTCTTTTTATTTATCAACTGGCACAATATTGTTTTATCTCAGTTTCACATTCTGTCATATTTTCACTGTAAACTTGTAGCATAAATATAAAAATTAGTTCTTTTATACAGCCAGCAAAACTAAAAGTTTACTCATTGGGCAACTTTATTTTCAAATGTGAATTTATCTGTACATAATTATTTTTATTATGAGATAGTTGAAAATGTTACTCATAATTGTAAATGGTCCATTGACCAAAAAATTAGAACAGAAAGTATGAAACCATTATGTTATAAATTGCTCAGTTGTTTGGAAAGCATCTTTATACTACTGTACATCAGCACTATTACAACTTTTAGAAGCTTTGAATACATACAGTAGGAGAAAGTTGGGTGGGTTGCATATCTAGTATGACTGGGAGGGAGTTGAATGAGAATATTATACAAACTAAAATCAATTGTGAGAATTGTGTGCTTAAAAAATACTACTTACAATTTTATTCATTGCTCACTTGATAAAAAAGCTTGTTCTTTAACTTTTGGACACCATTGCAGTTTAATTTGTTGGGAAATGATGTTATTTTGAATTATTTCATTTGTATTTCAAGAATGACTGACGTAGTTCATTTCAACATACTGAATAAAGTATTATTTATATGATTTAGGTGTTGAACAGTAAACTTTAATGTAAAGATAATATACAGCATTTTTATTGTAGTTTTAAGTAGTAGTATTAGGGTTAACCTTATGCTAGAGTTAAGATAAGCTTGTGTTATGATGCAATCCTCACATTCCAAATGCAACTAGAATTGAAAAAACTACAACTTAAAAATGAGTAGGTTATGTAGGTGCTTGAGAAAAGCAAAGGAAAACATATGCACATGTAGTAACAAATCAGGTTGCTAAAAACAGCTATTGTTTTTCAATTGAAAAAAAAAAAAATTCTGAAAATGTTTCTTTTTTAGACACACACATGTTGAATTTAAGATTTGGAATGTGAGTCTCAAATGGTTTGAGGAAAGTAAATGGTTCTGGAAAATATAAAAGAACAAAATTTAGGCGTAAAGGATAAAGGACATGTTTATCAGTGTTCCTACTCAATTATATTTGCTGATTGCTATTTCTTTTACTCTTGGAAGAGGAATTTTTAATAGGGATTATACTGCACTTATAGGCTTAAGTTGAATTTGGAGTAGATATTTTAGATAGATCTATTATATATTAAGGCAAGTGAAAATGGTTTTGGGAAACGAATTGCTTAGGATGCCTTTTTCAGGAATGAGGTTAACTTTTAGTAAAAAGTATCATGTGGTCACTCTTACCTCAGGAAATGCAGTAGCACAATCCTAATAAAGTTTTTTAAACAATAGAAGTTCCAGACATTTATTTTCTGTGTTAATTAAACCGGCAGACCCAAAAGTATAGAAGGGTGATATAGCAAAATGAACTGAGCATTACCGGCATTTACCCATTATCCCAAAGCAAACATTCAACATAAATTTAGGTGCATGAGGTGCAACATTTTTATGATTAGATATCTTAATGTTTGATATTTGGAAGAGTAAATATTTTTTGAAAATTTTCATGTTACATTAGGTGATTGACTGATTCATTGACAGTTTTGGGATTTTTCCAGGTCAACGACAGCCAAAAATGGGATGTAATACTTGAGACACTTGATATCAAAGGATGTGTCAATGCTTCACTGGCTCTCCGCCAGATTTATATAAGGTGAGGAGGATAGAACATTGGTTGTTTTAATATGAACTGTAACATTTTTATAATTTTTACTTTACTTATACCTTTTGTAACTACTCAAGGTATATAAAAATAATAAGAAATTCCACTCTTAATTGTAAATTTCTGATTGAACTAATAAATATGGATATCAGTCAAGATATACTGTATGTGTGTATAAAAAAAAATCATGAGAGAGACAAAGAGAGAAAAATGGTGAATGTTTAAGATATAACTATATTATACTTTTGTTTTATCCTTGTTTCTTAAAATGTATGCTAGTATGTATCTTTGATATAACTTCTTCAATTTTTTCCAAACTGTTGACATCTTATTACATACAATATTTTTGTGACTTGATGTGTAACAATTGAAATTTTTTTGATCATCAGGAGCCGTTTCTGCATTTGGTTTGCACACCTAAATTGTAACTTTAATTCTAACTCCTTTACGTTTTGAAGATGTAATATGAGAGAGAATTAGTTAACAAGGCAGTATTAAGTGAAACAAAGCCTTAATAGTTTGAATGGAGTTTTCCATCTAAATATAACTAGTCTTTGTGCTTATTCCACATACATGTATTTCTCAAAACACTCAATGCAATGATTTTTTTTCAGAATTTGTTTGTTTGGTTATGAAATTATATTCTGAGAATTTACCAGAATTAGTTGCATTGATTACCGTATTTAAATATATACCTGTTTGTCCATAAATAAACATTTGCAGTTGTTTTGAACGTAAACCACACAACTACATGAATCAGCAGCATTTCCTGTGTTACAATAACAACTTTCTCTTTTAGAGTTATCACGTAGTTACTCATTTGGAAATAAAACAGTACTCTGGTTACTTGTTGCTTTGCTTGTGTTCAGTAAGAACTGATAAAAAATTTAACTTCACCTGGTGGCAAGGTATTATATTGATATATACAAAGAAGCAGATAATATAACTAACCCCCCCCCCCCCAAAAAAAAAAAAATACGTGCAGTGCCAGTAAATACAATGTATACCAATAATAAGAAAATATGGTGGTTGTCAATAAGTACTTACTTTTGCATAACTTGTCCTATGAAAAGAAACATCAGACACAAGTTAAAAGATCTTGAAATATCAGGAACAAGGTATAAAGATGTTGATAAATTTATTGCTATTTTATGTTCCGACTGTGGCAGTTTAAAGTAACAAATTGGAATCATTTTGTGATTATTGTGGAGAGCTATTTTCATATCTAATTTTATAGAAAAAAACTTTTTGTTCAAATTACAAATTTAAGGTTATCAAATTTTGTGTATGAAGTCATAATTTTAAACTTTTAAAAAACAGCCTACTATCAAGAATATATTAAACATACAAAGTCAGTTCTTATGTTGAAATATTAGAAACTTGTATATTTTATGCGATTGGTATTTAATGCTCGCATATTGAAAAAGTATCACAGAAAAATATTACCTTTTCAGAATTTTTCAGACTTAATACCCATTATATATATACTTAATATTGTGTCATGTTCATTGTATACTTAATACTGTGTCATGCTCATTGTGTACTTTAATGCTATCATGTTCATTGTGTACTTTAATACTGTCATGTTCATTATGTACTGAATACTGTCATGTTCATTGTATACTTAATGTTGTGTCATGTTCATTGTGTACTTAGTATTGAGTCATGTTCATTGTGTACTTAGTATTGTGTCATGTTCATTGTGTACTTAATATTGTGTCATGTTCATTGTGTACTTAGTATTGTGTCATGTTCATTGTGTACTTAGTATTGTGTCATGTTCATTGTGTACTTAATATTGTGTCATGTTCATTGTGTACTTAGTATTGTGTCATGTTCATTGTATACTTAGTATTGTGTCATGTTCATTGTATACTTAATATTATGTCATGTTCATTGTGTACTTAATGTTGTGTCATTAATCTTGGTCATGGTGAAGTGTAAATAATCACAAAAAATTATATGGCCTGTTGAAGTCAATTGTAATAATTTTGGCAGAGTATGAACACCAGTAATGATAAGTATCATATTTTTGTAATTAACTTCGGGCAGTCACTTTACTACCATCATAATTTCTAATCTTGGCCCATGTTTACAGAAATTCCCCTGTATATGATAATTATTTCTAATTAAATGAACACCATTACTGTATGTTTCTAGAACATCATGCAGCTAAATTATTTTTTGAGGCACAGTCAGAAAATAAAGTATTTTTGTCACCAGTGGTGGATTAATAATAATAATCATACAAATGATAATAAGTGTGGTTCCTCTTTACTTTTCAAATTATATAATTTTTGCTGTTACTTTGATTAACTGAGTGGCCTATGGATGTGGGACCATAGGGTTTTACGTATTTGGCATCATTGAAGAAGTCTAGAGCATAAAGACAAAAATTTATTGGTAAATTAAACATGAGATACTGTTCTGGGAATGAAAGTTCCACAATTTTCCTGACATAACTTTATTTTGAATCTGTTGTACACTTGTTCATCATGCTTGTTGTTTTCATGAAATTTTAAGCAGTTTAGCATTCAGATTTTCAGGAATTGGTTTTGTATATGTGTATCATTTGGTGGTTGTAAATTTCTAATTTGATTGATCCAGTAGATGTATAAGTGATTTAAGTATGGGTAGCAGGACAGACAGATCAGTGTTTTTCAATTTTTTACCATGTGCACAGACTAGGATGTTATACAATGTGTGTGTGTGAACAAACATGAACCAACCTCCTGTTGGATTATGAATTGACTTAGAAGGTACATGTAGAACAAATTTCTAGTATATACCAGTTTTAGTTTAAGTCTGAATAACTCGTATATAGAGACAGTCTTTCTACATGTGTTTGATATTGATTCAGTTTGCAGGTGTACTTTGTGGTATTAATCAAAACAAGAAAGAATTCAATTTAAAATGACTGAAAATTGACATAGTTAGACATTTTAAAACTTCATGAACAATTAGCTTGCAGCAAGAAATATTTGTGGCCTTTTATGCTTATGATTATTAGTTATATATATATATATATATATTGTATCTATGTATATATATATATATATATATATATTGTATCTATGTATATATATATATATATATATTCTTTTTTATATTTATAAAAAAA